GAAGACTCTCAGAACCTGAGGTCTAGAAGGCAGATAGTGGTTCCCCAGGCTACAGACTAGTGTCACTAACCAGACTAATGCAGAAACCAGGGGATGGCCTTGGAGGTGTCTTCTGAATACTCCTCCTTAAATAAGATGATTTTTTAAAATGCCCATTCACTGAGGAATGGCTGGGGAGCTGGGCACCAGGCAAAACACTGCTAGCGTCATGTTGTGTCTTCCTCACCAACACCATAGGAGAAAATAGCTCCCATTTGATGCCTGAAGCTCAAAGAGGTTAAAGTATCTTGCCCCCATGATGAGTGAGTAGCAGAACTAGGATGTAAGCTCACATCTCTCTGGCCTCAGAGCCCAACATCTTAACCAATACACTATACTGTTCAATTCCCCATTTTGCTTTCAGACTGGACCAAGTGGAGGAGGAATGGCAGGAAGTTGAGTATGCGAACTGAATCATAGCTTGTATACATATCTGTATGAAATGCAATTTGTGATTTCCTTTAAGTACGGGTGAAAGCTATAGCAGTTTACCGGGACTGTTGGCTCTGTGGCTTCAAGCAGGACTTGGGGGATTGTTTTAATGAATAGGCAAGACTAATTTTAATTAGCGTAGCAATTGTTTGTAAATGGCACTTGAGGGAATCGACATGCAATTTGTTCATCAGCATTTTATTAAACGTCCCCTCTGTGATCTTATATAGACTCTTTATTTGCATTATGAACGAGCAAGGAGGAATTTGCTAGGGGAAGGGCTGGGCATGCCAATTTCAATGTCTCAAACACTGAAATTGACTACTGCTTCTCCCAAGTCACAGAGTTGACATTTTCAAAGGAGGAGCTGAGGGAAGGTTCACTGTTGGTCTGTCACAGCCAAGAGCATGGCCTTCAGTGTTTGCCTAGTACAGAAATCCAGCTACCTCAGACGAGGGCCATCATCAGTAGGTTTCTGGAGATCTCAAATGAGGTGGGGCAAAAGAACACAATGGGTTGTTTTCATTTCAAGAAAAGGGCAGACATGTAAACTTGAGGGGTCTTGGCTGCAAGTCCTCCAGTCTAGTCACCTGGCCATAATGGATCCTCAGGATGAACCCCAAGCCCCCATTGTAGGGACGGGCTCCATATGAGGGTGGGACGAGTAGGCTGTTCCCCTTTGCTGCTGCTCCTACAGAGGTTATCTCTCAGAAATATTGTTAGGTGACATCTGCTGCATAGGTGACTGCCTGCCCACTGGGCATTGATGATTTAGGAAGTGGCTTTCCGACACTTGGCCCCTAGAGGTACCATTATCTACAAGCCACTGCCCTAGGAGTAACTCCCAAGAGCTTCTGATGTCAGGATTCTTCTGCATGGGCTCCCAGCTGCTGGGTGGGAAGAACTTGGTTGTGCCATCCAAGGGGATGGGAATAAAGGAGCATGCTAGGGGGAAATCAGTTCTGACTCGGTGGGCTCACTGGATGCTTCCATGTCACCACTTACAGGGATCACCTTGCCATGTATAATTCCTGGGTCCTATGGTCCATCAGGCTTACCAGGAGTTCCCGGATTCCCAGGTATGGCATGAGGCCAGAGAAAGCCACTGAGCACGCTCGTAAGGGCCATGAGCCCAAGGAAGTGGGCGACAGGTTGGCAGCATTTGGGGGGGAACCACATTCCTCCTGAGAGGCGGCCTTGAACATTGAGGAAATAGAATGGCTCCTGGAGAAGTCTGAGCGGGGAGGTAAGGGTAGGAGCCCATCCCCCCACCCGAGGGACCAGGATTCTTGAGTGAACATCCCAAGAGTGGCCAGCCACCCTGACTTTCCTTTCCCCTCACCACTCATGTTTGGGTTCGCAGGCCCTAAAGGGGCCCGTGGCCTCCCTGGGACCCCAGGCCAGCCTGGACTGCGTGGGAATAAAGGAGAGCCTGGAAGTCCAGGATTGGTTCACCTTCCTGAATTGCCAGGTAAGGAATAAAGCTTTTTCTCACCTGCTTCTCCTCTGCTGGGACCATGGGCTTGAATCGTGGTAGCCAGCCATCCACTGATCACAGGCAGTGAGGTCTGCACTCTGGTGTGCGTGGGGTGGTTTTGATTTCCTACTCGGGTGGCTCAGGGCTTCAAGCTTGGGTATGACAGTGAGTCAGAGCGCTCAGGGCCATCAGCCGGGACCAGCTGGAGCTCAGATGGAAAGTGCCTTTGCCTGAGGTTGCGAAGCCACTAGTGAGAGAGCTAGGATTCCCCCCCCGCTCCCTTAGCTGACTGCCAAGCCTCTGGCAAGTTCCAGGCTCCATTCCTTCCAGGTCAGACAAAGAGATTGAGATGAGTCAAAAGGAAGGGGTTCCTTTCTATCCCTTTGCTCACACCCTATTGCAAGCTTGTTCTCCATTGCACCAGGAGGTCTTAAACTCTGTTGCCAGATCTGCGGCCCCAGCATCACCTGGGAACCTGTTAATAATGCAGAGTCTTGGCCCCTCGGCAGAGCTAGATCAGAAGCTGGTGTGGGGTAGGTTGGTAGTGCCCAGCCATGTGGGCATGGCCAAGCACCCCCTCCCCAGGTAGTTCTGACCCACACTCAGTTTGAGAACCACCCTGCTCTGTAGCATGGGGCTTCTCATGGGCCATGCCCTCCATGGTTTATTTACCCAGCTTCAATCCCCTCCAACCACCCAGGAAGAGGGAGGCATGACACCCGGGGGGAGATGACTGCAGAAGAAATTGGGCCTTTGACAGGGAGTCCTGGGTATATAACCTGTGCTCTTTGGCCTGTGAAACAGCCCTGAGAGTGGGTTACTGGGCTCAGCCCAAGGCCTTACTGAGCTAGAACCTTCTGCAGCTTCCATGGTGCATCCCTGCCTCTGGGCGCATCCTCCCAGGACCAGGGGCCCCTGCCTTTCAAGAAAAGTGACATACATTATCGAAATGTTAGCTTTTGTAATAGAAAAACCAAAATCTGTCTCAGGGATCTCCACCCAGACCTATCCCTTCTAAACCTCCATGGCCTTTTTATTTTTTGCCTCTTTACATTTAGGATTTCCTGGACCTCGTGGGGAGAAGGGCTTGCCTGGGTTTCCTGGGCTTCCTGGAAAAGATGGCTTGCCCGGGAAACTTGGCAGTCCAGGTATACCCGGTTCCAAGGGAGCACCCGGTGACATCTTTGGTGCTGAGGACGGTGCTCCGGGAGAGCAAGGCCTTCAGGGATTGCCAGGGGACAGAGGATTTCCTGGAGACTCTGGCCTTCCAGGACCCAAGGGTGACTCTTTTTGACTCACTTACATAACAATCTACAGAAAGTCTTTCAGTGACCAGTATATCCTTGCATGAATAGACAACTGAGTCTGGGGTGATGGACCCAGAGGGGGTGTCACTGAAAAGCCATTTTGTCCTCTCACTTCTGGGGACTTTTTCTTAAATCGCTGGAGTGTGTTCTTACTTCGTAAATCCCGAAGTAACTGTAACAGTGAGTCGGGTTTCTTTTACAGCCTCTGATTTGTCACTAGGGCAAGAGCAGCAGGGGCTGGAGCAGAGGAGGCCGCCACACCGGGGATATACCCTGGGCCAAGGTCTTGCGCTGCAAGTTGTTTTGGTGACCAGTCCCTGCTGTCCATCCAGGCTGTTGATCATCTGTCCCTTCCTTTCATTAGGTTTGCTTGGGAAGTCAGGCCTGCTAGGCCCCAAAGGTGAGCGGGGCAGCCCCGGCATGCCGGGCCACGTGGGACAGCCAGGGCCCCCAGGGCCTCAGGGTCTGTTTGGCATCAAGGGCAAACCTGGGCTCCCAGGTGCACCAGGCTTTCCCGGCCCTTCAGGTAGGTCCTTTGGAGGAGGAGCCCCAGCTTGACAGCCTTAAGCCGGGGCCCTGGGCCCTGTCGCCCTGAGGGGCAACCACAGCAGTGTGCCAGGGGCAGGGTCAAGAAGGATCCTCGACCTCTCACGGTTCCCAGTCTCAGGGGGCCCTGGCAGTGCCTAGCAGAAGAGATTTCTGTACTTTAGCTTCCAAAAGGGTAGTACATGTCCCTCCCTGTCCCTTCCCCATGGTCTCTCTCCCCCTTTCCCAGTTCAGGAAGTGCCCTAGTTGTGCAGGTGGGTCTAGCCATCTCCACTGGCTTGGCTGGGACCGTGGGGAGCCTGCTTGGGATCAGGGTTGGGGTGAGGAAGCTTGGGCAGAGGGCAGCTGCATGGTGACTTGCCTCTCGGGCGACTATGCCTCTGAGGACCCACAGCCAAAGTGGCCGTCCCTGGGCCTCGGGGCTGACACCCACCCACTGGCTCCAGACTAGCGTTCGTGGTGCACCTGCTCCTCATACTACCCACCTCACCCCTACCTCAGTGACTACGTCACCCCCCCTCCCCTTATTCCTGGCCACATGACTGTAGTTGAGTTTCTGCAAAGCCACTAAAACCCTTTTTATCCCTTTTATCCTTCTGTGTTTCTGGGGTCTTCCCATGGGCTGTCCAGGTGAGAAAACAGTAGGTAAGCTCACAGGCTAACACCCCCACTGGCTTCCCTGCTCAAGGCATTCACAGACTATACACTAGAACCTGGCAAGGCCAGGGGTCCCCGGACTCATGCTGGGGCATTGGCCCCCATTGAATTTCCTTCCTTGTTGTGGAATCCCCTTCCCTGCCCCCCTCCTCCCCCTCCCCCAATTAGAATCCTGGGGCTTGTGGCTACTGGATGCTTTTCAATTCGTGGAAAGCCAAGTCAGCCATTCATTGAGGTTCTTGGGGACCCAAACACATCTGTAGTCACTGATTTAATCCTTTGGTTTTTTTAATTTCCTCGCTTTGTACCTGAGCATTCCACTTGGGCAGCAGCTCAGGAGGTTAATCCCATTGACCAACTTAAACCCCGGTGAAAGAAATCCCAGAATACCTAGGAGACCAAATGGGCCTTGGGGATTTCTACAGGACTTGGCACTAGGGGGTCTTTCAATCTTAAGGCCAAGGAACTGGCTGATTTAACTGCTTGCAAGAAGGATTAAAAGGGCAGCCCTGTCTCCATGGCTCCCTGGGAGGCTGAAACAATGGCTCGGCTTTAACCTCTACTTCGCCGGATTGGCTCAGGAAGCAGCCATTGTGGCGTGGTTCAGACAGTATGTACCAGGAAGCCAGGGTCCGGTTGCCTCCCTGGCTTCCCAGAGCCCCATTCACAGGCAAAGATGTGAACCCCATTCATAAAAGGGGGAAGAAGCTCTAATTGGAAGGGGTTTGCGTGCCCTGCCAGCTGCCATGCCACGCTGAGAGTGATAGCCATTGGCATGTGTGCTGCTCAGGGTGGTGAACACTAAGGCTTCAGCCAGCCTCGAAGCCTGCCAGTTAGCCACCTGCATGGGGCCATTGTTAAGGGACCATTTCCAACACCCACCGGGCCAGCCAACCAGAAGCCATGGGAATGGGCACCAGCCCAGATCTGGACACAGCCTCCCTTGACACTGTCCCGTGTTCTCTCTTATGCTAATTCAGGACGTCCTGGAAAGAAAGGTGTAAGAGGCGAGACAGGTCCCCCCTCATCCTCTGGAAAGAGAGGCCTGCCAGGGCTGAAAGGCTTTCCAGGATCTCCAGGGCTGGTTGGCTTCTTGGGGAGCTCAGGCTTGCCAGGGAACACTGGGTTGCCAGGCCTGCCAGGTCCGAAGGGTAAGTGAAGCGGGTGGGATTTTCTGTGGTAAGAGGGTCGGGCAGGGCCAGTGTTAAGGGAAGGCTCCCACCTAAGCTGAGTCACCCTTGCTACTGGCTGGGTGGAGTGCTGGGCCGGATGACGCTGGCAGGAAGGCCCAGAACAGTGACCACCATGCTGGCTATTCTCATTCGCTCCACCCCTTCCATGGTGTCCGATGGCTCTCAGTTTCTACTAGCCCACCCGAGGTTGGATAGGAGACGTCTCCATTTTATATAGGGGCAAATGACAGGTCCAAGGTCACACAGCCAATTAGCAACAGCACCCAGCTAGGGCTCATCTCCCTGCCTCTTAGTCCTAGGCCTTTTTGTTTTTCCTGTGCCACCCAGGAGCTCTAACTTGGCACATGGTAAGAAAGGCACCCACCTCCTCTTTCCCTCCTGTCGCTTTAGTGCCATGTCCCTGTTTAGGGAAGTAGTAGTATATGTAAGGATTAGCAGCTGGTACTTTGGAGTTAGAGAAACCTGGGTTGGAATCCCTTCTCTGCAGCTGCCAAGCTGTGTGATTTGGGGTAAGTTATTTAACCTCTCTGAGCTTCCATTTCCTTGTATGTCCGATGGGGATAATAATAGAAGTTCTCGTTTCATAACAGGTGAGAAGGGGTCTGCCGGGCTGGCTGGCTTTCCGGGGATGCCTGGTCTCCCTGGTATTCCTGGCGCAAGTGGATTAAAGGGAATTTCTGGCTCTGCCGGAAGAGTGGGACCATCTGGACGGGCTGGTAGTGCTGGTAAAAAAGGTGAGCTGGGGAACTGAGTTCTGAACTCGCTAGCCATGCTTACCAAGGTATGTTTTATTTGTCGACCTTGAGGCTGGTGTGGCTTGTACCCACCCTGTGTTAGATAATAAGACTGGGGGTTTCTGAACCCCATCCCATGGCTTTTAAACCATAAGACCTAATGGCTTCTGAGTTTTCCCCACGTGTTAGAGGCCTCACTGCACGTTCCCTGTTGCTCAGTGGTGGGGACTTTGCAGTAGGCTTCAGAGTTGCTGGCCGACTTTGGGCCTGTCAAAGGAGAGGGCATGAACGTAGGTGGGAAGTCATGGGGCCAGGGCCAGCCAGGGAAGGGCCTGGAAAGGAGGCCTGTGGGTAGTGCGGGAGGAGCAGAGAGGAAAGGTCAGCTCATGTCTGACCCTGTGTCTAAGCTTCCTCTCACAAGGGTCTCACGATCTCCACCCTCCTCCCCTGCAGGAGACCGAGGCGACCCAGGGCCAGTTGGAATACCCAGCCCAAGACCTCCCATGGTGAACCTCTGGTTCAAAGGAGACAAAGGCTCGAGAGGCTCAGCTGGATCGGATGGATTTCCTGGGCCCAGAGGTGCCGGGGGCAGGCAACGGGCAGGAGAAATGCTCATCCTCAACTTCCCTCCTGAGAAAAGGCCCCCATCACAAAGCCCCCCCAGAGTGGCAATGTGGGTGGCAGCAATGGGTCCAAGGAGGCTGCCTTCTCTGGGCTTGTGGGGCACCTGGACTTCCAGGCTGCCAGTGTTCATTGTCACTCTGGAACTAAAGTTTTGTTTTTTTTTTTCTTCTAAAGATTTTATTTATTTATTTGACAGAGAGATCACAAGTAGGCAGAGAGAGAGGGGGGAAGCAGGCTCCCTGCTGAGCAGAGAGTCCGATGCGGGGCTCCATCCCAGGACCCTGAGATCATGACCTGAGCCCAAGGCAGAGGCTTTAACCCACTGAGCCACCCAGGCGCCCCTGGAACTGAAGTTTTGAATCACTGGCTATTGTACCCTCTGGAGGAGCCTAGCAGATGCTGGGACATGGGCACCGGCAGTGTTGCAGTGTTGAGCCGGAGTGACCCTGACTGGTGAACCCTAAGGCTGGAGGCACCTCCCCCACTCCCACCATCACAATCCCCTCCCCCACACTGAGCTAGCCATCCCCAAGTCCCCAAGGCTGCACTTCATTTGCCTGTGATCCCGGGGTCCTACAACTTGGGGAGCAGATTTGCTCCTGGCCAGAGTCTTTTTTTCTAAGCCCTTTGTTTCTTTCATAGGTGACAAAGGAGAGGCTGGCCTCCCCGGACCACCAGGCTTGCCTGGAGCTCCTGGCTTCCCTAGTACCATCAAGGGACTCACTGGGAGAGCTGGCATCCCTGGCTCCCCCGGACAACGGGGCTTACCCGGCTTGAAGGGGTCCCCTGGAATCACAGGTTTCCCAGGAATACCAGGGGAAAGCGTAAGTGTGCCCAGCTCCTGGTCTCTTCACGGGAGAAGGGCCTCTGTAGCAGGGGACATGCCCCTGGGCCCCATCTTTCTGGCCCCAACCCACTTCCTGGCCTCTTCCCCTACCTCACCACAGACAAAGCCCTCTCCCTGAGTCTGGCAGGCCTTCCTCCACCCATTTCCTGAAGGTTCCTTCCTCTGGGCCTTTGTTCATGCTCTTTCCGCCACAGAGCAGAGGCTTCTCCTTTGCAGCTAACTGGCTAATGCCCACCCGTGCTTTGGGTCCCGGACCTGGGTGCCCACTACCCCAGGAGTCTCGGAGGTCCCACCCTGCTGGCATGCTGCACTTCTCACTGCTTATGTGAATCCCAGTTGGTTCTATGTGGGCTCGATTTCCTCAATGAGATTGTCAGGCCTTGAGAACAAGTCCTTACAAGCTCTTCTAGAAATCTCCACCCCACTGCTGGCATCCCTCCCCCCCACGCCCAAACCTTGAGCTAGGCACATTGTAAGGGCTCTGGACATTGTGATTTTAGAAAGGTCATTGCTGACAAATGGCAAGTAATCAAATCAGCTTGTCTGAGCTCTTCAAAGGCGGGGGAATAGGGTAGGCATAGCCACAAGAGGGAGCTGGGTTCGAATTTCTGCTCTCCTGCTCATGAGCTCTGTGATTCTGTGCATATTGCTTACCTTGCCTGAACCTTGCTTTTCTCATCTGCACAAAATGGAAACGATACTCAGACCTCCTTCGGATAGCAGTGAAAATTAAATGAGCTGATCCGAGTAAAGTGCTTATCTTGGTATCCAGCAAATGGTGGGCTCTCAATAAGTGGTAGCCATCATAGCAGCAGTACTGAAGGGACTAAATGAACTGGATTCCAGAACACCTGTGCTCCCTGCAGGCAAAATCCCATCCCTTTAAAAGCAGCAGGCCATGGGATGGAGAAAACACACACACACACACACACACACACACACACACAGATATATATATATATATATATATATATATATATATATATATATCCCAGAAGCAACTGCAAAGGAAAATGTTCTTAGCTGGATGGTCCTGACTCCTCCTCCCCTTGGAGGGATGGAGTCAAAGTAGGAAAGCATTTCTATGAAAATGGTAACATTAACCCAAATGCAGACTCCAGGACCTGCACATATCCAGCCAGCTATGTGGTTCCTTGCAGGGACCCGAAGCTTGCACAACCTGCAGCTGAGGGCTGTCGCTTTCCCTATGAAGCAATCCTTTTCCTTATGCATCATGGCTCCAGAGCTTTGGCATGGGGAGCGATAGCCGACTGTCTGCAGGGGGCACCACCAAACATCTGTCTGGACGGTTATGTCCTGTATTTTCAAAGAGACTTGCTACAATAGCCACACCTTGATTTCCCAAGATTCTCCTTTTGATAGCCATTGGGAAGTTATGAATGACGGGACCAGGATTAATCTGCAGATAGTGTCCCTCCCCTAAAAACCCTGACTACACATTTCCACCCTTGGCTTATCACCTTCCCTTCCGCAGGATGCCCACCCCCCACCACAGCATACACAGTAGACCTTTCTTAGGCAGTGGTTTGGGGAGGATGAGGGGTGGGTGGGAGGCGAGAGTGTGGAAGGCCTCGAGCTCTGGGCAGAAATAATGATTTCCATATTACTTTGAAGGGTTCACAGGGCCTTAGTGGAGCTCCCGGACTCCCAGGAACATTTGGTCTCCCAGGTTCAAAAGGTGAGGAGCATAATCCCCTCCATTCCTGTCCATGTTGATGCAGATGGTGGGCCTTCATCCTTTCTGATGGCTGAGTTATATTCCATTGTACATATGCTAAGTGAAATAAGCCAAAAAGAGAAAGACAATTATATGATTTCACTCATATGTGGAACATAAGGAACAGCATGGAGGACCAGGAGCAAGGGAGGGAAAACTAAATGGGGAGAAATCAGAGAGGGAGACAAACCATGAGAGACTTGGACTCCGGGAAACAAACTGAAGTTTACAGAAGGAAGGGGGCTAGGGGTAACCAGCGATGGGTATTAAGGAGGGTACGTGTGGTGATGAGCATTGGGTGTTACACGCAACTAATGAACCATGGAACACTGAATCAAAAACTTATGATGTACTATATGCTGGCTAACTGAACATAACAATAATTTTTTAAAAAGTTGAGGAGCATTTTCTCTTTTAATGGGTGTTTCCAGAGTAAGGTGGATTTCTAGCAGGCTTGGGGTTCTTGGGGAAGGAAACTCGGTGTTCAAAGGGAAGTGAATTGATTTACCTTTTCTCTTTGGCCAAGCCCCCTTCTCAGACTTTGCTCCTCAAACATGTGTGACAAACAGTGGTTTGACCCACTTGCCTTCCAAACTCAGCAACAGAGAAGGGCCTCAGCTCAAGACAGTCTTTTCCCCTGCTGAACCCAGCCCACAGGGCAGGAAAATTTCCCATACTTGCCATCATCATTGTTTTATTCTGGTGATGTTTTAGCACCCTTCCTCCCATCTTCTCTGCCCATACTGAACCTAGCGATGTTTTCCCAGTGGAGATATGCTTCACGTAACAGCATTTCTCGCCAATAGCCTGATAGCATCCCAGCCTTTTTTTGGTGATTGGTCACTTTTGCCCAATGCATACTTTGTCAAAGATCACCTCTGGCTACATTGAATCTGAAAAGGTTTTGCCATCAAAAGATCTCTTTGCTGCAAAATGAGGTCTAGCTTCTCTTGACCACTTGGACAATATCTTCATATCCCTAGGAGATCAAGGTCAGACATTTGGCATTTCCGGTAGCCCAGGGCCCAAGGGACAACCTGGGGAGTCTGGTTTTAAAGGTAAGTCTTCTGTCCTTTTATCTCACGTGTCTCACAGACTCCTCAAAACTGAGGATCAGGAGGAATTAGGGAGGTCAACCCCCAAGTTCTGTAACTTCTATCCAGTGCAGAGAAATTTCTACCCTGACACATATCTACTCAAGGCAGCCCACAGTTTCCCCAAGCAAACCAGTTTACTTTTCCCTTGAGACTCATGGGGTAAGACCATTGGGATAATGGCTTCCCTTCCTTGGTTTATAGTTATTTAAACTGGTTCTCAGACATTTCCAGCCATTGCTGCTCCTTATGGGGGCACTCAGAACATGTTGACTTACCTTAGTGGGCAGCACCTTGCAAATGCAAAGACAGCTACTATTACCATCTTTTTCAGAGGCTTTTCACTGGACCTGACTCTCTTGAGATTTCAAGTAGATTTCCTTTCCTGCTGCCTCTCTCCCTGGGAGAAACATGGTGCCTGAAACAGGGCCTGACCACTCAGCATTTTTCTTGATTTTGTAGGCGTGAAAGGAACAGATGGAATCATTGGTGATGTGGGTTTCCCAGGAAGCAAAGGTGAAGATGGGAATGTTGGGATTTCTGGAGATGTTGGCCTTCCTGGCTCCCCAGGTACCGTGTCACCCGACGACTGTATTCTGAAAAACTGAGGGTTGGCTTGAAGCCATGGTCCAGTCTGAGCTCCTGTCTTGCTTTCTCTTTCAGGGCTCCCCGGGACTGCAGGCATGAGAGGAAATCCAGGGTTTCCAGGTTCTCCAGGCCATCCAGGGGTACCTGGGCCCCTGGGACCCTCTGGCCTAATGGGAACCAAAGGTATGTGTATTTGAGAGGAGGTCATGGGAAAAGGGGTTCTTCCCTCAGAAAAAGGACAGCAACTCCTTTATATTAGGAGACACTCTCTGGAGGCAAGCTATTTCCAGGGGAGTCACTGGCTGGGTCACATGATGGATAATCGGAGGAGGAGAACATGGAATACATGGAGAGAAGAGTTAGCGAGGAAGGCTGTCGTCCTGGCACACGTAGTCTTCCCGGGATGGGCAGCGAGTCTCTGGCTGCTGGCTCCTCTAGGTCTTGGCGTTGCCACACTGTGTTCTCAAAGAGACTGAATCATCTACCACCCTGCTCTTAAAGCTGTATGGGTCTCTAAGGAGAGTCAGGAAGAGCTAGGGTGGAGTTTAGGGAACGGTCTGCTCTCCCTTAGAGCATTAATGCCTCCAGAAAGACCAGGACCTTTAAAATGAGGACTTCGCAAGGCCCTGGGGGGCAGGACCTTTGGCTGACCCTTCATGATTCAGAAGTTGCCAGAGCCATTTCTTTTTCTTTTTTTTTTTTAAAGATTTTTTTTTTAATTTATTTGACAGATCACAAGTAGGCAGAGAGACAGGCAGAGAGAGAGAGGAGGAGGAGGCAGGCTCCCTGCTGAGCAGAGAGCCCAATGTGAGGCTCGATCCCAGGACCCTGGGATCATGACCTGAGCCAAAGGCAGAGGCTTTAACCACTGAGCCACCCAGGCGCCCCGACCAGAGCCATTTCTGATACTCAGTCTCCTCAGGTTTCCCTGGACTTCCTGGTTTACATGGACTGAATGGGCTTCCAGGAACCAAGGGAACCCATGGAAATCCAGGTGAGGAAGACCCTCAAGGGCAAGAAGGAGAGCATCAGCTCTTCCAGAAGGCTGGCGGGGGCTGGCCATGAGTTCTCAACTGTGGGGTATCCCATATCCTTCAGCTCATAGATCTCCTTGCCAGCCCCCTCCTGCCCCAGTCTGAGGTGCCTTGATTTGTGGAGGAAGGAGGAAGGGGGAAGAAGTTCATCCTTCTACCCAGAATGAGCTCTCTTTCTGGTTACTTAAGTACTCCTTTTCTGGCGTGTGTCACACAGTCCCTGAGCCTGTGAGCTAGGCATGAGGGCCTCAACTGCACTGAGTTCTGTCCCTCCTCTGTCTGCATCTCCTCCTAGGACCTAGTATAACCGGCGTGCCTGGGCCAGCTGGCCTGCCTGGTCCCAAAGGGGAAAGAGGTTCTCCAGGAACTGGCCTCGGAGCCCCAGGGAAGCCAGGCATGAAAGGACAAAAAGGTGGCCGAGGTAAGTGAGCCCAAGTCAGGCCTTGTAGAAGCTGAGTAAGGCCTGGCCAGGGAGCCAAGGTTGAGGCTCCTCAGGGCCACATGGCTCACAGGGTTGAGTTGTGCATATCTTCACATCCCTGGGGACCATGGAACTCAATGGAACTGACTGCTGAGCTGGGGGCCATGCTTAGGGCTTTTCCGGGAGGCATGTCAGGGAGAAGTCCAGTGAGCTCCCTTTAGCCTCCTTATTCCCTCCTGCTCTCCCTTATTAACCCCAGGGTCTCTCTTGCACCCTTGGCCAGGGCCTGACTTTAACGGTCTTGAGGGACAGGGCTTATCCACTTAGCAAGAGATTTGCCAGAAGTTCCTCAACATCCAGGGTGGATGGCGCTCTGCTGCCAGGGCCCTTAAAAGACAGCATGGCTGCCGGAAGGAGCCCAAGACTAAGACGATAAATATCTCCATAGGATAGGCACTCAGGATCTGTGGGGTTTACTAGAAAGCAGTTTTTTGCCCTCATCTCAGCCCCTGACTCATGGTGTCTTCTGAAGTCTCCTTCTGAGCCTTCCCTTTCCTACCTCACAAATGGTGAAAATGAATTCTGATTCTCTCCTTCTCCTTGGGAATGTTCTGAAGACCCAGATACAAGGCACTCGATGTAAGACAGGAAACAAATTTAGTGTAGCATCTTACCTAGGAGTATGGGCTCTGAAGTCGGACTGCTGGATTCAAATTCCAGCTCTACCCCTCACTGGCTATATGACCTTGAACAAGGAAATGACTCACCCCTCAGTCTTCAATGGACTCTTCATTTTCCTTTTCTATAAAATGGGCATAATAAGAGAATAGACTGCGCAGGTTTGGTGAGGAACCAATGAGGAGTGAGGTAATAGATATGAAAGCACTTAGCACAGCATCTGGCACATAGTAGGTGCTTAAGAAACGTCTGTTATATCATGATGTATTCCCTGGGCAATCCTATTTGCAAAATGTTCTGCACCTCCGTTTGCTCCTGGAGCTTGAGGGCCCCCTGCCTCTTATTTATGTGCATGTTTGTATAATGCGTGTCTGTTTTCCAGGAACTAATTCCTACATTAATTCATTTTCTGCTGAATTTTATATTGGTGCATCTGCTCTCTCTGTGTTTCCTCTTTCTTTTGGTCTGAACCAACATGTTCTTTCCTGAAAGCCAGCCGCTTCTCCTGAGTGGGGGCTCCCACAGGGTCTGAGCCTATAGGCAGAGAGTGTGGCTTTTTTCACAGGAGGTAAAAAGAGGGGGCCTGGATAGAAGCAAAACCCAGATGGTTTCCCATCTTGACTATGGATGCCTAGTCATTAAATTATCCATTTCCTTTCACTCTCTGTGGTAATAAGAAAATCACAATGATAAATGTAGTAAAAAGCACATGTGAAGATGCCTACATTTCAGGAACACCATGTTGATTTAAAACAAACAAACAAACAAACAAACAAAGAACAAATAAATAAACAAAATCCCAAGTTGCAGAGAAAGACGTTGGGTATGATTCCACTGATCAGAGTTTATAAATAAATGAAAACAAGCAATATATCTTTTAAGGACACAGATACGCGTGTTCAAAGTGGGAATGCAGAACACAAAATTCAAGAGTGGTTGCCCCTTGGAAGGGAGGGAAGGTAGTAGGGATCTGTGAAGGGCATGCAAGGAAATTCAAAGGTAATGCCCTCTTCTTTTTCTTAAATTGGGTGGTTGGAACAGAGATGCTCATTTTTATCTGGGTGATTTTTTACTTGTGATTTATAAATACTCTTCTGCTCCTCTCAATATCTAATTAAAACATGGTTTTAAAAGTACACAGCAAATATCTTCCCCCCATAGAAATCTATCTCTGTTATGATTGTAGAAATCAGTGTAAAATGAAGATTTACTCCAAAGCAAACTTCCTAAACCAGTCCCTGTCCTAAAATACCTTTATCTAAATAACTTTGAATCCCACCATTCATTTTCTCATTTGTAATAAATATTTAGAGGCTGTATTTGTATATCTAGGCTTAAATCTTGGACACTCCAATGAGTTGGAAAAATATGCCATCCGGCATTTTCACGTACTCCTTTAAAGTGCCTCATTCTTAAAGAAATACGTGAACTTTTTTTTTTTTTTTTTACTACTTGAGATCAGTAGAACCTGTATTTCAGTTTTAATGCTAAATTGGTGGAATTCGAAACTCAAGAAACAGGTAAAAAGAGAAGGCACTTCCAAAAACTACTATGGGAGCTTTTTATAGTCTGTGCGCTGCCCATAGTACCATCTGGTGTCTTGCTTATTGCTTTTTGCTTCATTTCACTATATATATATATATTTTTTATATCTATAAATATATGTATGTGTATATATAAAGCTATATTTTCAGGAAAAAACACAATATGTCTTTCTTTTCAGATGTTTACGTTTGTGACAAAGAAAAATACTTGAAAGGTTCATCGAGACCTAACTGACCATACTTATAAGTAGCACCACATGGCTTTACAACTGTTATTTCTTGTTTTCTTTTGTCTTGTTTCCAGACCTATAATAATTGGAGCCTTTTCTTGAAATTTACTTTTTTATCCTTTATGTTCCATCTGCATTCAGTTCACTAATGAGCTGTAAAAACCACCGGAATTCACTAATCTGCCATCTTTCTTTATGCATTTTTATGGATTTACTCTTTCTCTAATGAAATACAAGAAGTTCTACCTTAGTATTTTTGGCTTTCTTCATCAGAAAAACAAAAATTCAACATTAGTATTTTTGGATTTTATTGTTACAAACAAAAATCATCTCAACCACCAGAATAGTTTATCAACCAGTGGGAATCTATTTCTCTTCCTTGGAATGTATTCTAGAATATGCCAAAATAATAAATACATTTCTTTTATGCTACAAGTTTAAGATGGACTTTGACATTTTACATATGGCTTTGATGCGGTTTCCGACCAAGATTCCATGTATGTCTTTGTGTGCATATTCAATAAATCTGTAATCCATTGAAATTTTCTGGTTTTGAGCGTTATAGTAGAAATCGTTGCACAAATGGAAAACACGTAAAAAATATCAGAGCAGATGAGTATTTTTGTATCTACTTTAATAAATGGCTTTTTTCTTTGATCTAAAGGGGGGAAAGGGATATGGTATAGAAAAATTAAGCAAGCATCCAGATGATATCATGAGTTGTCTGTAAAAGTATTTTCCAGTTTACCTAGAAGACCCAGAAATTAGCCCTAGAAGACACTGGTAGCTGCAGCCCTCTTGGGACCTCCACTCAGACCCAGCAGGCGGCTGTTTTGGCTAGAGCCCATGCCCCACCCCACCGCTTATACTTTCTCTGTGCAGCCCCAGACATAACTGGCTAATTCAATGAAAATGTGCCACAGGGCCAGGAGGTTTAAAAACACTTCAGGAAACTTCAGTTCCAGGTGCTGTACTCATCATGCCTTCTCTTCTTCCCCATTTGAGGGAAATCTGCCTGAAATATTTCCATTTCCAGTGACACTGAGAGCTAGAACTTTCCAAAGCTCCATCCCGAGGAAGAACCGAGGCATCTGCTGGGGTGGGAGGTGTTGTAGAGGAGGGAGCATGGGGCAGGGGAGAACAGGGAATCACTGTGATCTTGTGTGTCTGCTCCCCTTCGCCGGTCTGGCCCCCACCTAACCCCTTCCATTTTCTCTGGGAAAACCTGACCATACCAAGCCCATAGTGGCCCCTTTCATTTATTCTTTGCAGGTTTCCCAGGTCTCCAGGGTCCTGCTGGTCTGCCCGGTTCCCCAGGCCTCTCCTTGCCCTCAGTCATAGTGGGACAGCCTGGCGACCCTGGGCAACCAGGCCTAGATGGAGAGCGAGGTAAAGACAGGAAGCCCCGAAGAGGTTTGGCCTTCACCTTTTGTCCAGATTTGGGAGAGGTCCTGATACAGTCCAGCCACATTCCTACTGCTGGACATACATGGGCCTGCTTGGCCCCCACATCCCTCCCCCAGCAGGGACACAGGGGACTGGAATGGGCTGCATTTGCTTGGAGGGTTTGGGAAGGTCCAGGCACTGGGACCCCACACACAGCCAGGGAACATTCTCTGCCCCGGGAATGGGCTTTGGCTTCCTAGCAGCCCCAAGGCCTTTGGTGGTGGCCGCTTCCTGCTCATCTGCTCTCATTCCTCTTCTGATCTTATCCTTAGGCCGCCCCGGCTCCCCGGGGCCCCCAGGGCCCCCTGGGCCATCCTCTGATCAAGGTGACCCTGGAGACCCTGGCTTCCCTGGAGTTCCTGGCCCTCAAGGGCCCACGGGAGACCAAGGAATTCCAGGTTTCTCCGGCCTCCCTGGAGAGCTAGGACTGAAAGGTATGGCTGCCCAGTCTCGACCCCACTGTCTCTCACCTGTACCACCGTGCCAGGCCCTAACTTGCTTTCCCTTGGACTTTGCCAGGCGTGAGAGGTGAGCCTGGCTTCATGGGGACTCCAGGCAAAGTTGGGCCACCTGGAGACCCAGGACTTCCTGGAATAAAGGGGAAGGCAGGGCCCAGAGGTGAGTTGAGAGCACGTGCCTGGATGCTCCCGAGCTTGAGGGACCGGTCTGGGGGTCACAAACCTACAGGAGCCTACCTACACTGCTCACCACACCAAGAAAGCCTGGATGTGTGAGGCAGCTGAATGAAGCTCCCCCAGGGAGGGTATCTCCCCAGCTTGGGGCATCGCTGCCTCTGGCCACTTCTGGAACTGAAGGTCACTACCACCATGGGTCCGGCCGCTGATCTCCCCTCTGCACTCTTTCTGCCTCTGCGGGCACATTCGGTTTGGTTTGCACTCATCGCCACTTAGCCATGGGCTCAATTCTGAAAATGAAGGACTCTATCCATCCTTTACCACCATCCCCTCATGCACACCCAAACTGTTAGCAAGCCCTGCGGGCTGCGTCCCCTCAATATGTGTGCATCTGCTCACCTCTCAGCCCCTCCCTGGCTGCCACCTGGGTCCAGGGCACAGCCAGTTCTCAAAGGAATCACTGCAGTGACTTGCTAACTGGCCTCTTGGCTTCCTCCCCTGTTGGGCAGCTCCCCCAACAATCATTTCTCCATGAAGCAGTCAGAGAGATCTTGTAAGACATAAATCCTCCACTGGCTTCCCATAGCAGAGCAATGAACTGTGGTTCCCAAAGTCCCATGGGACGACTCCCTCTTCATCCTCATCATCAGCCCTTCCTCTTTTCTGTTCCCCTTCTTTACCACACCAGCCTCTTTCATTTAGCCAACCCAGTTGACCCCTGGGCCTTTGCACAGGTGAGGTCTACTTCCTTGAGTCCTCTTGCCCTCCAGTCTACCCCTGCTCCTTCTCATCTTTAGTGGTCTCAGCTTAAATGTCCCTGCTTCTAAGAGGCCACTTGTTACTCTTTCTCAAGCAGATTCTCCACCCCAGGACCCCCTCAGCTCACCGTCACAGTCTGTGTCACTGTCACTGAGCTGTTCATTTCCTTTGTAGCGCTTCTCACAACTTGCAGGGAGATGAATGGTATTTGTCAGGTTATGCATCTCCCATCTTTCTCACCGGACTGTAATCTCCACAGCGTTCTGTGCCTTAGTCTACCAGGGTGTGCCCCATAACAGGCACTTGAAAAATAGTTGGTCAATGAAATAGTAAGCGAATCAGCTCATGTGTCTCTTTATAAACTGGCAGGCCAGGCTCAGGGTCCTAGGCTGTGGTGCCAGCTGAATCTCTGAGGTTGGACTCCTCCCCTTGGCCTCCTTGGCCTTGTGCTCTGACCAGTGAGGGAGCAAACCAGCGACGCCAGCCCCAGACGAAAAAGCTCAGGCCACCTCATTGGCAACAAATGTGTCCTGACTTGCCTACCGTGTCCCAGGTCCTAGGAAACCATGTCCCAGACCCTGAGGAAACATGATGAATGTAACCCACTCCCTGCCTTCTAGAAGTTACCAGTTCACTGGGGAGTTAGGTGGGTAAAGAGGACATCATGTAAAGGGTGTGACAGTCTTTCTGGACGGATCCAGTGGGGACTGTGGGGGCAAACAGCAAAGGCAGAAAGTGGGCAATGGCCAGGTAGGAAAGCAAGCTTCTGGGGCCCTGTGCCAGCTGCATCCTCTGCCTCCACCTGATATTTCCATCTCTCCCATTTGTCCCCAGGCTTTTCCGGACCCCAAGGTGCTCCTGGACAAACACCAATTACAGAAGCTGTTCAGGTTCCTCCTGGACCCATGGGTCTACCAGGCATCGATGGCATCCCTGGCCTCACGGGAGATCCTGGGGTTCAAGGCCCTGTAGGCCTCCAAGGTAAGGAGAGCACCAGCAACAGGGGACTTCTCGGGGAGGGGAGTTAAGACGACCTTGGCTGAGAGGCTGAAGCAACTGGCTGGGATCTCCGGCTCAGAGCATTTCCTCCATTCCTTCACAAAGCCCCCGAACTCCTTGTTGGGAAGCGGGGGCCAGCAAGGTCAGCAGAAGTACTTGGCTTTAGAAAATGTGTGGGCAGAACATAGCAACAACTCTGGGCAGGGCAGCGCTTCCCTTTCTAACATGCTGCCAAGGGAAGGAGGAAGTGTGGTGGGAGGTCAAGAGCCATGGACAAAGCCCGAGGCTTGGTATGGGTTGGTGGGCAGGAAACCCAGCTTCCAATCCCAGCTTCCAATCCCAGCTGATGCACCAGCTCCGGTAAGTGAGCAGTCTCTCCGGGTGCAGGTGTTCTCATCTCTGACATGGGACTCTGACAGTTTCTGTGCATTCTGTGCATAGCTGGGAGGATGAGAGGAAGGGGGGAGTAGGTGTGAAGGGGCTCAGAAGGGCTGAGTGCAGAGCAGTGGTCCCAGGACGGAGAAGCCAGGCCAGGAAGCTAAGAACTAGCAAAGGTGGCTCAGCCCAGGAGTGCTCTAACATGATGGTCAGCGCGCCCTCTCCTGGTCAATTCTGGGCATAACACACAAGTCCTTTTTCCCTGGGGCCTGCTTTCAAGGACTTCCCACACTGAGTCCCAGCTGCTGGCCTTCTCTCCTTGCAGGCTCCAAAGGTTTACCTGGCATCCCTGGCAAAGATGGCCTCAACGGACTTCCCGGCCCGCCTGGCGCTCTCGGTGACCCTGGTCTTCCTGGACTACAAGGCCCTCCAGGATTTGAAGGTGTGGTGATGTCAGCACAGGGGGCTGAGGGTTTCCATGAGGGTAGGGGGATTTGGAGTGGCCAGAATCTCAAATCTGAGAAACAGGAAATGGGGCAGTAAAGCCTGACACTGAAAGGAGCCTGGAAAACCAGACTGCATTTCATTCGCTCCCATCCACCTCTGAGCCTAGGAAGGATGGGAGCCCCACATTCTGGAAGGCAAAGGACTCCTTCCAAATCCTTCTCTGGGTTCTCTTCTCTGAGAGCTATGACTGTCCTCTAGCCTGGCCCCTGGCCCTGCACCTCCCCTCTTCTACTCTGGGATTCTGACGTGGATGGGAAGGGGGTAGTTCAAGGCATAAGAAAGTCTGAGATGAAGAATGGCTGCTACTTACTTCCCATTTGGTAACAGGGATGGCAAATCAGTTGTCCTGCGCAGAGAACAGCTCTGAGACTCAGTGGAAAAAGGGGTACGATTAACTAGCCACGTCTTCCATGGGCAGGAGAACTAGTGGAATTTTTGACCCGCTAGTCCCAATTCTGCTTTTGCTGCCTCTGATTCAGCAGGGGCCCGGTTATGTTCTGGGAGAGCCTGCAAGCTCCAAGGGGTTGCCCCCTCAGCCCCCTCCTGCCCTCATAGAGGACGGGAGGCCTGGCGGCTGTGGGAGGGGAGCTGGATAAGCACACTTTTTCAAATAGGGATTCTGCGGCTGGATACGCCTGAGCTGGCATTCTAGCTCCACGGGCTGGGGGACTTGTGAGCCTGTTCCATTGTCTACAAATCGGGGTAATCGGGTTGTCGTGAGGATCCAGTGAGCCCAGCTGGGTGCTCGGCCTGAGGTCAGTGGCTGCCTTTATGAGCGGCTCACCCTCCCCCTTTCCTGCTGTCTCCCTCTCAGGCGCTCCAGGGAAGAAGGGTCCTTTCGGGAGGGCTGGAGTGCCTGGGCAGAGCGTGAGAGTGGGGTACACCTTGGTGAAGCACAGCCAGTCGGAACAGGTGCCCCTGTGCCCTGCCGGGATGAGCCAGCTGTGGGTAGGTTACAGCTTGCTGTTCGTGGAGGGACAGGAGAAAGCCCACAACCAGGACCTGGGTAAGTACCGGCTCTGACACCAGCCTTGGTCATCCCCCCACCACCACCACCACAGGGATCAAGAGCTCCCCTCTTCTGTCCTCTCAGCCTGGGGCGGGCCCACCATTGGGTAGTAGGATTCCAACAGTAGCTGTCACGTCAAGCATATCTGGGTTTAAACCCTGGCGCTCCCACTTACTGGCTGGGAAACCCAAGATGAGTTCTTCCACCTCTCTGAACTGCCACTTCCTCCTTAAATGGAAACAAAGCTAAGGCTAGTACCTGTCTCAGAGGCTGCTATAAGGAGTACATGAATCACCCAATGGAAAACGCTTAGGACAATGTTCGGCATGTTAAGCAGGAGTAATAATAATAATAATAATTGCTGTGGGGCAACAGCAATTACCCGGGAATTAATTGTATTGTCTACAGGTGTGCCGACTCTGAACCACAGACTCACTCTATTCAATGCGGATTTGACACAGCAGATTAATTAGGGAGTCGTTCCACAGCTTAGACAAAGATTCCTTTCATTCTCGAACTTCCCTGGTGTGTTGAGAATAGGATTTGACCAACAGACGCCAGCGGATGCATGATGTTCCAGGCCTGGAAGGAGGGCCGTCCCTGCTCTGGGACAAGTGGCTGGATGCCACCCGGGCCAGTCCAGCCCTGGTGGCACTGGGCACGGTCCCAGCCCCACCTCTCGGCCCCACCTTACCTGCCTCTGCCCACCTGCTCTCCTTCCAGGCTTTGCTGGCTCCTGCCTGCCCCGCTTCAGCACCATGCCCTTCATCTACTGCAACATGGACGAAGTGTGCCACTACGCCGGGCGTAATGACAAATCCTACTGGCTCTCCACCACCGCCCCCATTCCCATGATGCCCGTGGGCCAGGCCCAGATCCCCCAGTACATCAGCCGCTGCTCTGTGTGCGAGGCACCCTCACAGGCCATCGCTGTGCACAGCCAGGATGTCACCATCCCGCGGTGCCCCCTGGGCTGGCGCAGCCTCTGGATCGGGTACTCCTTCCTCATGGTGAGGCCCTGCCTTGCCCCCTTCCCCAGTGTAGAGGCAGAGGGCGGCGGCGGGGGTGCGGTGGGGGGGACCCTGGGAGGGTCCCTCACGCAGGTTCGCAGGCTCAAGCGACATGATGTAGGAAGCACAGAATTTGAAATGAAGGAAGAGGCTTGGCCTGACCTTGGCCGAGTTCTGCATGAATGATGGGTGATTCTGAGAGTGAGTAGAAGGGAGCAGTTTGCACCTAGCCGTCCAGGGTGAGAATATCTATGAATCACGGGCAAAGGCCCTGATGTCTCCATGCCTGCTTCAGGTACACCACAAGCGAGGGAGGGAGGTGACAGCCGATCCTGGTGGACAATGAGGGAGAGGCTGCCCCCCACCCTCGAGGCCGGGACACACTCTCATGGCCCAGGCTGGGCATGGCTGCTCCTCCTTTTCTGCCCAAGGTCCCAGGCCCCTCCGGCTACCGCCATGTCCTCCTGAAAGGCTCAAATGAGGGTGTACTCTGTTTCTACATCCTTACTGAGGTTTTTGCTGCTTGCCCGCTGTGGTGGGAGAGCTGTCTGTCTTGGTAAGAAAGAGCTGAGAACATCTGCAAGCCCAAGGAGGCATCAACTCCCTCACACGCCATTCTGTGTGAATACCCGGGGTCGGGGGTCGGACATTAAATAAGCAAAAGGCAGGTTTCGGGCCAGAATCGCTCCCAGGGAACACCAGGGTGGCCCCTGCTGAAGTACTCTGCCTCCCCGGAGCTTCCTTGCTAGATCGCCAGGGGTGAGATGACGAGAAATTGTCTTTGAAGAATTACCAAAGCCGTAGGCCTCCTCACGTTAGTGTGCCCACCTGGGATGAGATACTTCCTTGTTTTGCTCTGTGTGAATTGGGCAGTTTATCCCCATGTGATACAGAGTCGCCTCACCTCTCCTTCTGTCCCATCCACCACCCAGATCAGGAAATAAGTCAAAAAGGCCCCTGAGTTTCCACAAGGAATAGTACAAAAGTTGTACAAAATCGCCTGTGTTTTGCTCCCAGGAGCACTCTTAAGTCCTTACTCAGAATCTCTTTACTCTTACTTTCCACAGAATTCTAACGTTCTAGAATATCCATATTTTCCTGAAAACCTGTAAGGGTGGGAATTTGGACTGCCTAGTACAGCATCTTGGGACCATAAGACATGCCCGCTAAGAAGGAGAAAAGAGGGAGAAAATGATTCAAAGGTGGCCTAAGAACTCTGGGGACACAACTGTCCAATGCCAAAAGTAACATTCCCAACAACAAGCCTGAGTCCTGTGCCAAGTGTAAAATACACAGCGTCTGCCCAATTAGTAAGGCAGGGTAGTGTGTCCTTTGTTCCAGAACATGTTCCATCTGAGGATCAAAATGAGGAAAGCTTTGACGCTTCATGTATCAGGAAAATCCCTTCTAAGGAGACTAACCCTCCCGGAGCTGTGTAAAGCAAGCCATCCCTGAGCGTCCAACTTGGGCATCTGTCCCACTGGCCATTTGCTGACCCTGGGGGGGATGAAGCCCATTCTTCACCCACTGTGGTCCAGCTAATACCCCAGCTGACATGAAGGGAGACGGGGTGGGGAGTGCCGTGACAGGGACTGCTATCTGTGGGTACAGTGACTGGCGACTATGGGCTAATGAATGGTACTGACTTTGGATGCTGAAGGGGCCCTGAAGCGGGGACCAGGACGCCAGGCCGCATACGAGGCCCACTTGTACTCAGCAAGCAACAATGCTCTGTGTTGTCCTAAAGGGTGTGGTACAGATGGAAAACGTAAGAAGTTCTAAGGACGCTAACTGCAGAGCCGACACTATTCATAGATGGGCTGGGGGAGGGGCTCAGGGTTTAGCCACTTGGTGGAGTACCACGCGCTCTTCTTGGGGTTCACCACCAAGGGCTTGGGGTAGACAAGGGTTTGGAGAAGCCCTGCATTCTAAAACCTACTGAATCTGCCTTCATTCAGACTTTTCTCAGACTTACTTGCCCGCGGGGATTGGCAAAGAGCCGCCAAACACACTTCGGAACTCAGCGGGATGTTGGGAGTTTGGTGGGGGAGGACACTGGCCAAGAGGTCCCCGCTGCCCAAGCACAGTGGGTTAGGGGGTCACTTGGGGAGCATGGAGGGAATGCTCCTGGCCCTGAGGAGCTACAAGCTCAAGTGGTCCCGGGAGATCTGGGGGTGCAGGCTAGACGCTAGGGCTGAGCCAGGGGCCAGAGCTGTGGAAGGGCCCAGGGCTGAAGTGCTGACCCCATCTGTTGCAGCATACCGCGGCGGGCGCCGAGGGTGGCGGCCAGTCCCTGGTGTCCCCGGGCTCCTGCCTGGAGGATTTCCGAGCCACTCCCTTCATCGAGTGCAGCGGGGCCCGGGGCACCTGCCACTACTTTGCCAACAAGTACAGTTTCTGGCTGGCGACGGTGGAAGAGAGGCAGCAGTTTAGGGAGGAAGCGGCGTCTGAGGCGCTCAAGGCCGGGCAGCTCCACACCCGCGCCAGCCGCTGCCAGGTGTGTATGAAAAGCCTGTAGAGGGGCAGCTGCCGCACCCCACCCCCTGCCCGCCCTCCCCCACACAACGGTCCCCTCACGGCTGAAGAAGGAAGGACCCCTGCCCTGTTGCCTCTCCGTCAAGTCGTACATCGGAGTCTCCTGAGGGCTGGACTACTGGACACTGGTCGCCTGACCGTCAGGCCCGATGGGTGAGCCCGCCCGACTGGGGTCTGCTGTCCCATTTCAACCTGGTGCTGTTGTTGGACGCGGACGTTTGCAGGCTTATTCACGGCTACCTCAGAAAGACCTGCTGGGTGACTGCTTTCTTAGACTCCTAGCTTTCCTCATTGTCTTGATCAGAAAGCCCTTCACCATAGCTGAGAAGTCACTTCTTTCTGTCCAGAGGTCACCACATTATTTGGCTTAAACCAGAAGCTGGTGTTTCCACATTCAGCCAGAAACTTCTCTGGCTAAGCATTCACAGGGTGACTTGAACCTGCATGGGGCAAGCTCTTACTCATCCAGGGGACCCACTGTGTCTAGGCAGGCGGTGGACCGGGAATGGGGTCCCCACCAGCAGCCCGGGGTGCTCTTTGGTTCCTTCAAGGGTGAGCCAAGCTGGGCCCCAGAGTGCTTCAGGAGGGGGCTTGTTAACTTCAGATGGTCCCCAATGAATTACTTCCTCTTTGCCAGCGCCCTCCCCAGCCAGAGACCTAGAACTTGGCCTAGTCCAGAGTAGAGCAGGGGAGGCACCAAGTGCAGCCAGGCCCAGAAAGGGAAATGAGAAGCACACCCCTTTCTCCCAGGCCGGGACGGGGGGTCGGGGTGGGGGGGGTGTTGGGGGCAGAGAGGTGGATGGGTAAGAAGGTATGAATTTTGCTTTGGACTCCAGGAACAAAAAAAAGACAAAGCCCTTGTCCCAGTTTCTCAGAGGTCCCTGTTTATTCCAAATGCCATCCAGATGTGTGCAGTGGGGCAAATCAAAGCCATGGTGTTTTGGGTCCTTTGCGTTCTGAGGCTGTTGTTAGAGACTTTCCATTAAAATGTCCATCCAATTGCTCTTTCACGGGTAGCTTGTTAAACTATTTTAATACATTGTTAAGTCTCAGAGAAATCTAGCACACTCCTCTCCTTAGCAGTTGGCAGACCTAAAACAAGCTGGAGTGGACTATAAAGTGTATGGCATTCTCTGCAGGGGGATGTGTTTTAACCAGTTCCTCTGATTATCAGTTTCCCAGAATACCTAGCTATGTTAACATGAGGCAATTCCTTCTGGGTGATTCTGTTTCCTTAAATATTATGTAAACCATGCCAACACAGAGAAAGCAAAATCAGTATAATCTGAATTACTTTTACCTTCACCTCCTGAGTAATAAGCATGCTGTCAGCTTTGTGCATTGCAAATAAAAGGAATCACACATCAACGTTCGGCTCTTTGGATGTTTTCTCATGAATACTTTTCTAAAGTCCATCTCGCTATAATTCGTGAGTTCCCCTCAGAGCCTGATAACACAAGCTGAGCTTTACAACATAATACTGAGGTGGAAAAAATACAATTAAAGTCAAAGGGCAGAAGGCAACAAATCCACAACTTCTTTCAAAATACACCTACAACTGCTTTTAGCCCCATCCATTCTAGAGTTCAAGAAATGGGTTTCCATACTTCTGGGGCCTCAGTATCCTTTACAGAGAAATCAAAAGTAGGGAAATGTTGGGGCACCTGGGTGGCACAGTCAGTTAAGCATCCAACTCTTGGTTTTGGCTCAAGTTGTGATCTCAGGGTCATGAGGCCAAGCCCCACATCAGGCTTCTCGCTCAGTGAGGAGTCTGCTTGAGACTCTCTCTCCCTCTCCCTCTGCCCCTCGACCCCCCCAACCTCACATGCACAGGCTCGCTCTCTATCTCAAAAATAAATAAATAAAATGTAGAGACATGTTGAGGTTGTTAAAATAAAATCTGAGACATATATGCATATGCATATTTGTATATGCATAAAATATATCTTCTGGACTGATAAGAAAGCCATGATGCTGGGAGCATTCAGAGAAGGGAACCAATCCATGGGAGGGAGAGACATTTTCACTGTACATCACTTTGTACCTTTTGATTTTTGAACTACTGGAATATATTACCTACTGGGGAAAAAAATGGAATTCAAGGAAACAAGTGTTCTAATATTCCTACATATACAGAAAACAAAACAAGACAAAACAAAACAAAACAAACTTTAGTTTGGTGCTGGCTTTCAAGCTAGGGTTGCTGGCCTTCCTCAGGCCTTGGTAGAGAAGGGGGGTGAAATGCACCCAAGTTAAGAGGGAAGGAGAGAAACATGGGCTTGAGGTACAGCCACACAAAAGAGGGTTTAGCAAAGCCAATTTGATCAAAATGTGCTTGAAGATTTGCTATGTTGCTCATCCTGAAATGGTTTGGAATTGCATTTGCCGCATGGATTAAATGTCACCACGTGAATAATTTTTTCTCATTATAGCTGTCAACCAAAATGGAGTCGAAGTCAAAGGCCAATTTGGATTTCCCCCGAATCAACAATTTTAAGTCATTGATTGGCAAACTACAGCCTGCACACCAAATCTGCAGCTCGCCACCTGTTTTTGTAAATAAAGTTTTATTGGCTTCCAGCCAGGCTCGTTTGTGTGCACACCGGCAATGGCTGCTTTTGCTCTTTTGCACTTTGACCGTGGAGCTGAGTGGCTGTGGCAGAGACCGTATGGCCTGCAAAACCAGAAGTGTTTACTATTTGGCCCTTGGCAGGAAAAATTTGCGCACAGCTGATTTAAAGTGATCACGACTTGGGGCACCTGGGTGGCTCAGTTGGTTAGGCCTTTGGCTCAGGTCATGATCCCGGGGTCCCAGGATGGAGCCCTGAGTCTGGCTCCCAGCTCAGTGGGGAGTCTGCTTCTCCCTCTCCCTCTGCCTCTCCCTGCCGCTCATGCTCTCTCTCTCTTAAATAAATAAAATCTATTTAAAAATGAGTTTTTAAGTAAATAAACAGATAAAGCGATCATGACTTGATTGAAGGGCCGGGTGACATCTGACAAAAACATCAGTAAGGATGGCGACACCCATCATCAGACAGCAAGTTGCCCTCAGCTAGGAAGGAAATCAACCAGGGTGCATTTGATGTGATTTCTCAAATTTTTGATCTGAATTATAATCATTTAAAATATATATTCAAATAACTTAAAAAGACCTTTTTCTCCCTGATGCAATCACTTTATTATTAGAGCAAGAGAACAGATTGCTTCTTAGTATTTAGCCCAAAAGAGGTCACTCCTGAAGGGGTGAAGAAGCACAGGGAAACCATCTCTTCTCCGCTGGTACTTGAAGCAAAGTGGGAGTTTCTGTCTGTCTTCCAGACATCCATCTCCTCGTTTCAGTAGCTGAAGACTCGCCGTGGCCAGGTAAGACAAGCCGGGAAGCAAGGGATAACTCCTAATCTTTCTGTTCCTATGTTCCATGATTGTTCTAGTTCGTTCTGGGGAAGGGTTATCATCGTTTGTTTTCTGAGAAACGGTAATTGGCTCAGTCATGATTGCTTTCAAGTTTGTATGCTGTTGGCATATCAGGCACTTGCTGACTAGAAAAGTCTCATGTAATGGGTTTGTGCTCTTCTTGTGCCGGTTGGAAGACAGACCGCCAAGTCGCGTTTCCGCTATCCTAGACGCTCAGGATCTCGAAATCTTCCTCCAGGTCAAACTCCTCTAGTTGTTCAGTAGAGTCAATGAATTCTGTTGGAGTATGGAAATGAGAAAGAAGAAAGCTTGACACTCTGGTTGAAATGGTCAGTACAGTTACTCAGTAGTTGAGGCTATTCATTTTTTAATCGTTTTGCTAGAGAAACGTGGAGGACACTCGCAGGTGGGACCGCGGACAAGTACTAGAGATTCTTTAGAAAGAGCCACATTGAGGGTGCCTGGGTGGCTCAGATGGTTAAGCCATTGCCTTCAGCTCAGGTCATGATCCCAGAGTCCTGGAATCGAGTCCCATATCAGGCTTTCCCTGCTCTGCAGGGAGCCTGTTTCTCCCTCTCCCTCTGCCTCTCCCCATGCTTGTGCACTCGCTCTCTCTGTCAAATAAATAAATAAAATCTTTAAAAAAAACTCATAAAAAATTAAAAAAAGAAAGAGCCACATTGAGATACCATCTTACATCAGTCAGAATGGCAAAAATTGACAAGGCAAGAAACAACAAATGTTGGAGAGGCTGTGGAGAAAGGGGAGCCCTCTTACACTGTTGGTGGGAATGCAAGCTGGTGCAGCCACTCTGGAAAACAGTGTGGAGGTCCCTCAAAAAGTTAAATATAGTACTACCCTATGACCCAGCCATTGCACAACTGGGTATTTATCCCAAAGGTACAGATGTAATGAAAAGAAGGGGCACCTGCACCCCAATGTTCATAGCAGCAATGTCCACAATAGCCAAACTGTGGAAAGAGCTTAGATGCCCTTCAACACACGAATGGATAAAGAAGACGTGGTCCATAAATACAATGGAATATTACTCAGCCATCAGAAAGGATGAATACCCACTGTTTGCATTGTCATGGATGGGACTGGAAGAGATTATGCTGAGTGAAATAAGTCAAGCAGAGAAAGTCAATTATCAAATGGTTTCACTTATTTGTGGAACATAAGGGATAGCATGGAGGACATTAGGAGAAGAAAGGGGAAAATGAAGAGGGGGGGATATCAGAGGGGGAGATGAACCATGAAAGACTACGGACTCTGGGAAACCAACTGTGGGTTTTAGAGGGAAGGGGGAGGTGAGCCCAGTGATGGGTATTAAGGAGGGCACAGATTGCATGGAGCACTGGGTGTTAGACACAAACAATGGGTCATGGAACACTACATCAGAAACTAATGATGTCCTATATGGTGACTAACATAATTAAAAAAAAAAAAAGAAAGCAAAATAGTTAAGTTCATTACACAGTCTTATTTCCAGGGATGAAGACAAGGCTCTGGGGTCTTTGAGGTACTTTTCAAATCACCCCTGGCCCCTGATTTGTTTTTTTGGGCCAG